TAATTAATTTCTAAATGATTTGTCACTAGAGGGAGGCATTAGGTGTCATCTCTTATTAAATTTAATAATTATAAGTAATATTTATTAAATAATTTAGAAAATTATTAATATATTTTCCTTATAATTAAATTTAAATATATTAAATCTTTTAAATCTTATACTATATTAAATAAATTTCAAATCAGTTATGAAATTCACTTGATGATTCCAAAGAGATGAGAAGATATTTTAATGTGTTAAACTGATATTTAACATTTAATAATTAAATTATTTGAAAAATTTAATGTAACTGGTTTATATATAGCAGAACAATATGAATAAATATATAAAATCCTTGAACACAAGTCATCCACATGTTGCAATAAAAATTCAAAAAAGTTAAGAGTTTAAACATTATGAATTAAGCTGGATTTGCTGGATCTTGCTCCTTCCAATAATTATTATTATTTTTTCTGAAACTTAAAAAAACTTTCAGACAGAAAAAATTTGACTGATTTGAAGATTTGAAAAATCACATTGAAGATTTTTTAAACTTTCATTTGAATTTAATTGCAGAGACAGTTTACTTGTAATACTGATAGTTTAGTATTCTAAGAGAATGAGACTGATACACACAAATAAACATTTATTATAAACTAAGTAATTTCTATTTGACTAGCTAAGGACAAAAAAATATGCACAATTTTTCTGGATTACCCAACACAGTTATTTAATTTTTAAAATACATGAAATATTAAGTTTTGATATATCTTATTTTTCTGCAACAAAAATATTACTAAAGACTTCTGGTGAGATATTAAGAAATAGAGCACATTTTTTCTTCATTAAATGAATTTTAATGAAGAAAATAAATTAAAAATAATTTCAGGAAAATAAATATTGTGAGACTCATGATAGAATCTGAAGCCCCTCAACTGATTTAACTAAAAAAGTTGGTCTCAAATTTTTTTCTTGAAACAGGTGAGAGACCAATCAAAAAGCATAGACAGGGAACCAGGACCAATTGGGATGGCTCATTAAGGAACCAAACAAATAAAAACCAGTGTCCCAAGGACACAAGACTTCTTTGGTTCCTCCAGTTCCCTCGTGCAATTACCTACAAAAGTTCCTCCAGTTCTTTCTGACACTTTTTGCTAACAAAAGTATCTTTTGTTTCCTTTCACAATTGCTTGCAAAGGTCCCTCTCAATCAGCTCCTAACAAAACTCCTTATGGAGGTTCCATTTAAATGTCATCTTTTCTTTCACGACTTTCCAATTGATCTGCTGTATCCAGCAAAACTCACTCTGTCTGTCTTGTTCAAGTCTTGTTCTCGTCAAGCATCACAACTCTTGAGATAATCTTCACCATCAACTTCATTACTGACCAAGTAGGACAAATTTTCCATTGAGGATCCAGTTGAATGGCACTATCCCAGGCCACTGAATGACGAGGGATTTAATGTTTGCAGTAATCTTCCAAACTTTTCAAGTTAAATTGAATACTATTTAGAAAGACCTCATGGAAGAAGTTATAAGCCTCTGATTTCTCTCTCTAATGAATGGATTTCTGCATCTGTCTGTCTCATGTCAATAAATGCACCAACATACTGAATTTCTCTTTCTCTTGTCATTCAGATCAGTTAACTCTTTACTCAAAGAACATAACTGGTTACTTAACCTTGCAATTTCTATTATGTGGTCCTTACAATATTTAAAACTTTCTATTAAAATACAAGTATAATAAAAATAATCTAGCGCCTTCATGAAAATTTATATGGCTGTAGAATAAATCAATGGACTTCTTAATAATATAAATACTGTAAGGTCTCTTTTTATGCGGATTATTTTTATGCGATTTTGAAGTTGTGTGGTTTGTATTTCGTCCAAAAATTTTTTGGACAAACATACATATAAGCTTGTTTAGGAAGCCCGCGTACAGACAGTCTCCAAAAATTGTGGAACGCTCAAAGCTCACTCCATTTGTTCCGCTGACATATAACGTTTATGGATGTAAAGGACAGCTAGATCTACCTTAATCGCTTTAGTTCCTAGCAATTTTTGATATAAATGTAATTAAACATAAAAAAATACTTAAAACTGAAAAAACGAAAGAAATGCGTTAATTTTGAAGAAAAATCTTCAAAGTTTAACTTCCTTTGTCTCGCCCTTCTGTGAAATTTAACACCAATGAGTCATTGTTTACACATCTGGAGTTGGATTTCCCGGGGCATTCTCATAGACGTTGCGGGAGGACAAGGGTTTAAAGTAGGGTGAACACTAGCTGGCTGTATATTTTTAAATATTTTTTAAAAATTTGGAGACTTAAAAACATTCCAAAAATTCAAAAAAAAAATTCAGGCCTTAAGGATCGCGTTTTATGTAACGCTATGTATCCTGCCCAAGTTAACTTGGGTGAGGAACTAAAAGGGTTTTAATTAACTCTTCACATCCAGATGTCAGTGATTTGTTTTTAGAGTGAGCTTTTGCAATTCGGGGATTCCCCTTGTACATGATACCATCGACAAGTCGCTATTACATCATTCTGAGTTTCGCATTGAAAGGTATAAACTGTAATTGTTTTGAAATTAAATTTTATATGAATTTCTTTCAGACATTCGAAGTAATTTATTAAGCAGCCTATTTCTTTTAATTTCTGCAAACTTTTTTATGCGGTTTTAAGTTAATTTTAACTCGTTGTTTTGGTTTTATGCGATTTTAGAAAATTACGGAACGTATCCCTACTTTTTCAAGGCAAGTAAAGTCTTTTTTTATGCGAATTTTTTATATGCGCTTTTCTGTAGAACGTATCCACCGCATAAAACGAGACCTTACAGTAATTAGCAAAAACACTTTTAAAAAATAACATTTTAAGTTTAATTTAAAGCCTATATTTTACTCTTATTATCTAACTGTGAAACTGGCAACTCAATTAAATAAATGATGATAACGTTTCCACATTAATTATATTTTTGTTAGTAATTTGCCACTAGAGTTAATGTGTTAAGCATCATCTCTTATTAAATTTAATAATTATAATTAAATTAATATTTATTAAATAATTTAGAAT